TTCTTCGGAATAGGCGTATTCTGATGGTCAAAGTTCAATGGAGTAACCGTGACCCCTTAGAAGCTACTTGGGAGACATTGAAGTCAATGGAGGCTCAATTTTCGCATCTGTTTACATCAGGTAAATTTTGAGGACGAAATTTCTTTTAAGGGGGAGAGTTGTCACACCCCAAAATAGGGCCTAAAATTCTCTTAAAAATTGTTCGAGGACTAAATTGAATTTTGATTTAATTAGGGGACCAGAGTGAAATTTTTGATTAAATTTGAATCAAAATTCAGAAAGCAACTAAAACTGGAGGACCTATAGTATGATTTTACTATTTTCTTTTTAAGGTTTATATAACCTCAAATCTAGAAAAACCCCATTTTATTTTATTTTATCTCTTCAATATTTTCCAGAAAGAAATCTTTGACCGTCGATCGTTGCTCTGTTTTCGACACCTCCCGTACCATCGTGTTCCTTGCGTCGTCCCGAGTCTACTGATGTCCTTCTTGTATCCATTGTTGTCGGCGTGTGAAGGGGTGAGGAAGATAAAGTTTCCAACGTTTCAAAATCGAGCTCTCCGCCGTTCATCGTTGTGAACCGAGCTTGGTAAGTGTCTCTAAACCCCTTAAAATAGTTGTAGAAATTTTTAAAAAAATTATGACCCTGTAAGACGACGCACGCGCCGCCTGCGCGTGGGGATCTCCCACCGCCTGGTGGTTTCTAGATCCTGCCCAAACCTGACCCACCTGCCCGACCCAACCTAACCCAACCCAATTCGACCTGATCTAATATGAATTGTTGACCATTGACTTTGACCCAAAAAGTCAAAATTTTCGAAAAGTTATATTTTATGTTTTTCGACATCTTGAGTCTGATTCCAAAGTCCGTTTTGTCAAATTCTGACCCGAAATCCCCGAATTGAGCCTATTAATCCTAAAATGCTTAGTGTTTTTAGCATTTTACTTAATTTTTTAGGATTTGATTATGGAATTGATTCGAGAATATATTTTTTATGAAGATACTTGTGTTTCACCCGACCGAGGGTCGATTAGATCTCGTTTTTCCCGTCCGTCAGACCCGCTCAATCCACATTCTACGAGAGTTACCTGTAGGTTTCCATAAATTATTTAAATAAAGGTTAATATTATTCATATTAGGATTCTGATATGGATTTTCTGATTCGTAGGATCTAGCGCTGCAGCTGATCGTGATCGACAGACTCAGTAGTAGGCTTCCCTATTAGACTACTCAGACCAATACATGTGAGTTTACTGTTGGTGTTACATTACTGTTTTCAACTATCTTTCTGAACTGTTTTAGATTTCCGATAATACTAAAACAATTTAAGAAAAAATACTTTATTTTCTGAACACGGTTTAACTGATATCTGATTTTTCTATATATTTCTGATATGATCTTTGGATTACCGTATTTTCATATCTGCTTTTTGAAAATGAAATATTTTCATGTTTTAATGGATTAAACTACTGTTTTCATTCGACTACATACATGTTATTTTTATCATTGGGGTTTTATTGGAGGAAGTATCTCAGGCCTAGTCTATGACTAGTAAGACCTTACCGCTTTCAGTAGGCTCATCTGCTTTGTGTACAGGATAAGACCTTACTGCAAGCTCCTCTGCTTTATGCAATGGGTAAGCCCTTACTGGGTGTACAAGTGGGTGTATGGTTCTGGGAAACCTACATATTCTAGTGATTAGACGGGGGTAGTGTTCATGTTTTTAAAGCATGTTTGATGAACTAATATTTTACTAAGGTATTTTATATGTATGTTTTTATACACCGTAAGGAGCACACTTAGCTTTTTAGCTCATTATGTAAATTTTAACCTTTTTAGATAATAACAGACTAGGCTAGCAGACTTGGTATCAGAAGGATCGACTACTCCTACTTTTGTATTAATGTATATCTCTATATGCCTTTGTTATACTTTTGTGACACGTGTTTTGCTACCACCTTGATATATATGTATTACCAGTATTTTGTTCTGTAAATGTTTATACGGTTTTCTGATATATGGATATATATGTTTATCGTATAAATCCTTATTATGGATAAATTTCATATTATACTGTTATATGGATTTTAACGTTGTTTTAAATATAAAAAGAATTTCTGAATGTGATATGTGACCACCTAGATTTGGGCATAACCTCCAGGTCGGGTCTAGGGGGTTACATTTATACATAGTATATATAATTTATAATTGTATATAATATATAAATATAAATTATACATTTTATATATAGTTCATATATAATTTATAATTATACATAGTATATATATAGCATATATATAAATATAAACTATATAGTTTATATATAAATTATATATATAAACTATATAAACTATATAGTTTTTATATATAGTATATATAGTTTATATTTATATTATTATAAACTAAATATAAACTATATATACTATATATATAAACTATATAGTTTATTAATATAACTATATATATTATATATAAATTATATGAACTATATATAAATGTATAGTTTATATTTATATATATATAATTATAATTATATATATGAACTATATAAATGTATAGTTTACATATAAACTATATATATATATATATATATATATATATATATATATTATGTGTAATTATAAATTATATATACTATGTATAAATTACATAGTTTATTAATATAACTAATTACATAGTTTATATATAAACTATATGAACTATATATAGTTCATATATAGTTTATATATAGTATATAAATATAAATTGTATAGTTTATATATATATATATATATATATATATATATTATAATTGTTTCAATTTTTTAACTTTTGAAATGAATGCAATTTAGTCTATTTTATATATTTTCTTCACATTTTACAATTATTTTGATTTGACCTTTTGTATTGTTTAATTTATTTAAATTTTTATTTGTAATTTCATATTTATTCAATTTAGTCCTCAAAATTATATTTGCATGTGAAATTGGCTCATACTTATTACTTATTTATATTTTTGTAATTGGCTCATAACTTTTTAAATGAGTATAATTTAGTGCTTTTTATATTAATTTTAGCCTCACATTTTAAAATTATTTTGATTTTGTCCCTCATCAATGCGTGTTGTTTAATTTATTTAATTTTTACTTGTAATTTCATATTGGTTCAATTTAATCCTTAAAATTATATTTTTATCAAAATTGATCCATAATTATTTATATTTTTAGCAATTTACTCTAAATCATATACAATTACAAATTACAACTCAAAATTCACCGAAAGGCGAAAAATAATTAATTCAAAAATAAAAAATGACCTGGCCTGAAGCCAATCTGTATCCGGTAAAGATCCGGCCTGAATTTTATCTGCCAATGATTTAACCCGATTTGAACGAGATCTGACTTATCCGAACCTGAATTAATTTGGTGTTTAATTGTTCCAGACCTGAACTGTTTTGACCTGAACTAACATCGATCCGAATTGAAATTAACTCGACTTGAACCTGAACTTGATGTCAAATCAATCTGAAAATGACCCGAACTAATTTGACCTGAACCTGATCTAATCCGAGTCCAACCATCAAAATGACATGACACAACATGTATCCAATTTTACTTGACTGACATGATTCGACTGAAACCTAAACGATTACCTGATTTTACATCCCTAGAGGTGATGACTGACACCATTTTTCCTTTGCATCATCAAAAGTTTTTTTTAATAGGAAATGGTTTGAACTTAAACATCACTAGAAAACGAAACAAAAAGAGTATGAATTATTAGATCTAAGTGTTTAAGGGATAATTACTATAAGATTAATTGGATGAAATGTTATTTTGTAAAATTTCAAAGAAAAGCAAATATGAATTTGGGTTGGACAAGAGTGGGTGTCGCCTTGTTGCCATCCAACAATCCATAACGCATGTGTTCCAATCCAATCCGTACACGCCACCAGAAAATGCCCCTTTGTGACGGTGGCTATATACATAAGACAAATAATTTTCCCGGTCGAAGCTTTTGGTCGGGTCAAAATGAGCCGCTAGCAAAATCTAAACTTTCTTTTCTATCGATTCTTACAATTTTGATTGCATCTTCCCACCATTCCATTTCCAAGTCTTGTAACTAGGCATGGATACCCAATTTTGACCAGGGCATGGATGTCTCATTGAACATGCCTCTTCAACCAAGCTCTCCGTTTTGGGCTTTACCTACTAAAACTTCAGGCAACCTGCATGTACGACCATGATCAAACCGATTTCTATTACTGCATAATAACCAGAGCCCATTCGTACAACACTTTAGCTCCTCCTGCTTTGCACTTCTCACCTAATTCACCTAGAACTTCATAGATGACTACTTCCAGTGCAGGTATCAAATACCAACCATTTACAATGTAAAAAACAATGACACAGATCCATTAATTGACTGAGTGGTCAAAGATGTTTCCTTTGTCCGTCCAATGTTGTGAGTTCAAATCTCGGCATTTGCCTAAATATAATACCTCTCTACTTAATCAAATAATAATAATACATAATACATATCTGAATCCACAATACTCAAATCTACAAAAAGCAGACCCACATGGATGACCAAGACCGGACTGATTTCCATTACTTCATGATAACCAGAGCCTCGCATTCAAAGAACCTCAGCTCCTTTTCCCAGATCAACAAGTTCACCTAAAACTCCGTAGGATATGACCATAATTCCAATGCAAGTGTCAACCATTTTCGAACAATGCACAAACCATTAAGGGTAGATAGATTAAGCAATCCGCTCATACAGCAATGATTTTCCTTTTCTATTCACTCGAGCTTGAGTTTCAAGAAGCTAGTAAAATAAAGTCACACATTATGATCATATGAAACTCACTTTTAAAGTCAAATTTAAATGATTCTGACACACGTCATAATCCACAAAATCTCAATGCCTGTAAGAGCAATGCAGAAAAGGTCAATTGTTTGGACAACAAAGCTAAAAAAAGTGCAACCAAGTTCCTTTAGAAGTATATCACAAACTTGGAAATCCAATTTTAACTTTCAAGTTCCTAAGCAAATCATCATAGTGAAACAGTTACTCAAAGAAACAAAAAAGAGCCAAATCAAACCCAGCACTTCCAAATCATTACTTCATTAAGCATCCTCATCCAATGTCAATCCATGAAACGGTTACCAGGTTATCCATCTTGAATACTGACCATATCTTCTAATTAGAAATTTTAAGGTTCCTACTGTTCTTTTGGATTTGGTGAAGCAGGAAGTTCCTCGTCTCTGTCATTTCCAATAGGGTGATCAGATGGAAGGGGTTCCTCATTTCCCTCATTTTCAACAGGGCGATCAGATGGTGGGGCTTCTTCATTGCCACCACTCTCGGGGTGGAAATTTATGGGGAACTTTGTCACCCTGGGTTTATCAGTCAGAATATTTCTTTGGACTTTCTCAATCAAGACCTTTGTGGGAGGTTCCTCTCTAAGCTTTTCATCATCGTAATCATTGTTAACATAGTAGCCCACTCGGACAAACTCTTGGCCAAGATACGAACAAGTTAATAGAAGTACTGTGACACCTATAATATCTTCTTCACGAATCTTTGACGGGTCTGGTGGGTCTGCCTGCAACATATTCAAGGAAAAAGGTAATAAATTAAGACAGATACATCAAATCCACAACTAAAACCGAGTTAGTTGAGATTGCCTGTAATACAAAACGGTAATTTCCAACATTAACAGGCCCAACAAGTACACTCTCCAGTAGTTGATCATAAGTCTCATCTTCTGCAGATCCCACGTAGATAAGTTTCCATTCTAAATCTGTCGATCCAATAAAACATGAATATTTTTAACCTCAAAAAAGACATGAAGTCAACAAAATCATAGCATTACTGGGTAGACAGATATGGCTGGTAAAGTCTTATATTAGATTAATACAATCATATCCAGAATGTATTCATGAATAATAAGAACGTCTTGTTTATCTGACAAACTTAAAATTCTAATTTTAATGAAACTCAAAACTTTCAAATGTAACAGAAGAGTTGGAAAAATAGAAGTAACTGTGTTAGAAACTGTCTTAAACTCAACTCCCAAGTTCAAGCCACACGTACAGCTAAAACATACGAAATCAGATCACTGAGATGAAAAGCTTCCCTTCTACACATAGAATCAGCATTCCACATTTCTTTATTCCAGAAACTTTAGAATTATTTTGTACAAGATGACAATTAGCAACCATTCTACTTAATTCTGGAACTCAAGTCAATACTGTATATTCTGGCATAAATTGTATCAAAATATCCCCCCATGCATTCCTAGCATTCTAAAATTCTATTCCTCTGCTCTTAAGGATATTCTTAAAGATTTATTGAACCACAATCCATTGGGAAATCAACATGCAAAATGCCAAAATATATAGTAACATAAAGCTTTACAACTTAAGACAAGTTTCTTATTTTTTTTCTTCTCCTTCAAAGAAGAGGCGATAAATTTATTTTCCATTTAACATAAAGCCTAGCTTTCTACAGAGTAGAAAATACAACAAATTCCTACCAAGTTTTACTCTTGAAAAAAAAACATTTTATATAGACTGGTAAAACCAAAATATGTAACAAAAACTTGCTAGTGAAGGCCAATTTATGCCTGGCCCAAACCCTAACTTTCTTCAATAAAACTGCAAACCCCAACCTACAATTATACCGCCACTTAACTAAAATATCTTATTCAAGCATACCAAATCTTTATTCTCGTCCCATCATTTAATAATTAAACAAAGGAGGGGGGAGAAAGGGGAAAACAACCTCGTAGACTTAACCTCAGCCAAACCCTAACTAAAAAAATATAAAATCAAATAAAAAAATAAATTGAAATCTAAAAAGCATTGAAACAAAAAAAAATGCTGAGAAAGAAAGCGTACCATCTTTAAGAGGAGTCAAACACTCGTAGGAGATCTCGAATTGAAAAGCAGACAAGAAGGACGCCGGGTTATCCAAAACGGTAACGTTAGTAATGTTGACAGCACTCATTGTCTCGAATCAGAGAGAAATTACACTGTTCACTACTCTACTAATCCAAACCCTAGCTTCTCGAAAATTCATCGAACTCTGAATAAAACCTAACTTGAAAAAGGAAAAGAAGAAGGAAGAAACAAAATACAAAAGGGAAAACAATCAAAGAAGAATAAGAGAAAGAAATTGTTTTCTCTGAGTGTGGTTTCGAGAGTTGGGGTTGGAAAGAAATATAAAATGAAATTGGAATTAATGGATTGGGTTTGGGAGAAGATATGGAAGGAGGGAAAATGAAGGAGATGGTAATTTTATTTTTTTGGGTTTTTTTTTTTGTGGGGGGTGGGGGGGGGGGAGTGGGGGGGATGGAATAAAAATAAAGAAAATGTATATTTATTTCCTACTTTAGGCCTCTTGGGCAATTAGAATAGTATAGAGATGTTTAAATGATTAATTCGAACTAAATTTTTTAATTATTAATTGTTTTAAGAATATTAATCGAATCAAATAAAGTGTATTTATTTAAACTTGAGCTTGAAATAAATATTTAATATATAATATATTTATAATTTTGATTAATTAATTAATTAATTAATTTCAAATCTAATTAACCGTCAATCAAATATTAAAGAAATATTAACTGTTTTTTTATTAAATTAATTCGGTTAGGGATCAAATTAACCGAATTAATTTAATTCGGTTGATTAATTAGAATAAAATCATAAAGTGAACACGCTGGCTGTCCAAAAGTGTACGGTGATAGCTGGTTATCAAATTTGGTTTGGCGGGAATATTGCAAGGTATGAAAAGATTAAAAAACAAAACGGAGCATGCCATCTCAATTAGGTATGTTCAACAAATGATCCAGTTAAATAAGTATTAATTAAATTAATTTTATTTTTAAAATCGTTAATTTTTAATTCAACTAAATTATATATGAACATTTTTAATTCAATCGAAATAATTTTGATTAATTGATTGAATTTTGAATCAATCCATATTTTAAAAAATAGTAATTCAAGTTATAGTAAGAGCTTTTTTATTGATATATTATTCTAAAAAAAAGATTTTCGTAAAATATACTATATAATAATTTTAAAAACTATTTTCGAAAACTATTTTTTATGTTTGGATGAAATTGTTCTCACTCATATTTGAGTCACTGAAATTTAATTATTTTATTTAATCATTTAACTTTTGAATTGTTCCTGTTTTGATCTTTTACGACAATATACATTATTTTATTATTATTATTATTACCTAAGGTATTTTATAAGTATTTAATCAAACTCTCGCAATCCCCAACTCATAAACACCCACTGAATTTAAGTCATCGAAAAACCTCTCCAAACAATTTCTCAAGAGCAAGGGCAAGCGACATCGGGGTATGTTGGGTTAACAGGTAGAAGCACTCGAGAAAAAAAATAAGGTGAATATCTTATCTGAGGTGTTGACGGTTATTGGCGAATGACAGACATAGAGTTCATCAAGGATTAGCAAGGGAAGAAGTGATTACGGGTTAGATCATCAAGGATTGGGGGGTTGTGATTTAAGGGTGAGACTGCCAATGAGCCACTGTTCATTGATGGGAGGATGAGTCTGTCGAGGCCGAATAGATGTAATTTGGAATTTAAGTTTTGATATGGGGTTTGAGATATGATTTAGGATTTTAAGATTTTGGTTTAAATTTCAAAGCTATAATTTAGAGTTTTTATTTTTTATTACAATCCCATGTGTTATTAAAATACTAATAAATATATCACGTCATTTGAATTATGTTTTGGTATGATGATATGTACAACATTATTAAATAAGTGATGATTTATTAAAAAACTTACATCGGTTCTCCAACGACACATTCAAAATGAAGTTTGATGAAAAAATTATAGGGTAAACTATGCGTATAGTACCTAAACTTATCAAATTTAATCAATTTTAATACCTAAACTTTTAATTTTTTTTCAAAAATCATACCTAACTTTTAATTTTTGTTTCATTTTAATAATCCGTTAAAAACTTACAGTTTAATTTTAAAAAAAATTAAAAAGTTTAAGTACTAAATCGAACCAAAACTGATAGTTTAGATACTAAATGAGCTAAGTTTTTAACGGTAGGATACTAAAATGAAACAAAAACTAAACATAGTTTAGGTGCTTAACGTGAAATTTACCAAAAATTATATTTATGTAAATAAATATTGATGTTCTGAAAAAGAAAAAAATACATTGGTACTCCAACTACACGTTCACCATAAAACTTGGGGAAAAACGTATACTAATGAAAACAAGTGTTAATATACTGGGAATATAGATAAAAAGCATTTGAGTAAGATAAAAGGCATTGTTTTTGTTTGAGTGTGAAAAGAGTAACTGATGTAGAACATAGAAATTGTTGATAACAAAAAACAAAGAATTAATTGCAAAATAAAATTTTGTACGTCAATATGAGATTAGTAAAACAATTCAGAATGTATAAGATTTCATAAACAAAAAGAAGAATCAAACATGTGGTAAGGATTCTAGGAATATAGATAAGTAATCCCTGAAAAATCTAATTAAGAGACGGGAAAAAAAAACATTGTTAATAAAAATTACAAAACAGAAATGGTTAACCTCCATCCAATCCAATACAAGAACCTGGACGGAAAACATCCGTACACAAACCTGGAAACAGTGGTCATTGTTAGACTGTCACATCCATCTTTCGAGTCTGCAAACGAAACATTTCGGCTATGTTCGCTGCCGTGGTACATTCCTCGGGAATTCTGTCCGTCACCGAGCGGATGAACCTTGGAAATCTCATTGAGATGCCACGGGAAGGATTAACTAACCCGATCGCAGCCTGATGAACTGGTGATACTGTGAAGTCTGCACCTCTTATTTGCCAAACAAGCTCTGGAGAGAACCACATATCAGGCACCTCAGCTGTTTGATAGTAAGCAGGCCTTTTGGCTAAGATCCTATCTCCGGAATAGAACTCTTTCATCTGAATTCGATAAAGAAAACCAAAAGACTTAAAAGAGTTTAGTGTAACATGAAGGATTGAAACTTATATATGCATAGAAACGTGTTACTATACCAATGCATATCCGACAACGAGCATGAGAATATGACCCTTTAAAGATCATCAAAATATACGGGGAAAAAAACATAGGTTACTAATGATAGGATCTTTGCGAAGAAACCAGAAGTCACATCTGGTTTCTTGAGGGAGCTATCAACGAGTGATTACAAAGAGAAACGTGCACACTATTTAGCCGTGTTATGGCAATTAGATCAAATCTCAGCGCCTTTATCATTACTCTATCGTTAGGAACTGTATAATTTGTACTCCAGTAAATTGCAAATCAGATATGCTCACTGCCAAAATCCTAGCTAAGCCAACATCAAAAAGATCTTAAATCAGAAACAAAACTATTCTCACATACCGCATAACGATGTTCAACTTTTAGCTCAGACTTGCAAGATTAACACCATATCCTTGGTAACATGAAGAAAAAGATACACTTTCTGGAATACAAACATCATCAACGCTCCACTTTACCTCATTGTAAAATGAATCGGTGAATCCAGACATAACATGGCATACGCTTTGGAAATCTTCAGCGTCTGGGTTGTAACATGCCATGAGGAACGAATTCGTAAGAAAAGTAAAGTAACATACATCAAAGTATGACTTAAAACAGAAAGGATTTCACATTGGGAGCATGTGGCAAGGGCGTGCTGCGTAATGAATGAATATTTCTTTTTCAAATTCAATAATATAACATTTTCTTTAGTAATATATCAACATAAAATGCAAATAAGCAATCACAACATAGGGCCTCTTAACAAACGAGAGGCTATTTATCAAATGATATCAAATTTTAAGCTTACCAGTGCCACCAAGATCGTTTCAGCAAACTTGGGATTTTCTAAGTTACTAGATTGAAGTTCAAATGCAGTATAATAAATGAATATTTTATCGATTTGCGTTCAATGGTCTATAACATTTTCTTTGACAATATCTAAACATACTTCATAAAATGCAAATCACCCCTTTCACTTCAATTCTACTTGCTTGCTAAACATTGCATCTGTTAAAACATCGGTTCATAAAATGGTCACGGGATATTTATCAAATGATATCAAAATTTAGTTTTACCAACGTCAGCAAGATCATTTCAACACATGGGATGTTCCAATTTATGAGGCCGAAGTTCAGATGATTCCAAGAGTCTAGGAGCTTATATTTTTTTTCTTGATGCCTATCAGTCATATTTAACTACTTGTTAGTTTTGCGTATGTAATTCCATCCTAGTGGGCTTAGGAGGGGATGGTTTTCAATCAAAGTTTCATGAACTTTTAAAATCAAAAGCTTACTATGGACTGAGGAACCTTTCCCTCTATAAATTTCAAAAAGTTTCAAATACATCATGAAGCATCATTTAACTACACATACATGTATATATATAGTCATTACCATCCTGCTTTTCTTCCATTACCATGCCAAGCACCAATTGGGACTAAATCAAGGGAGTCGCTTAACCCTTCCACATAGTCCCGCTTTTCCTAATAGAGATCACCAAGCAATTTGATTCAATATTTAGCTATCTTCGTATTTTCTAAATAGTTAAATCATCAGAATATTCTGGTAACCACAGAACCTTTAACCATGAATCACTACGCTTTGACGGAAGATATCCAGCATCAATATCCAAGGACTTAACCATAATTCCTTCGCATGAAAACCACAATGCATTTTCAAGGAAGGAGTTTATCCGAGTTAATGTGGCTTCACTGGTCAAACAAGTATCATCTCCTTCCACCTATTAAACAAGAGATCATAGACAATACTAGTCAATCCTATGTTGTTCCAACTCTTCAATTACCTAAAATATCTATGTCAAAAACATATTTGGTTATGGGTGGAGTAATGACACATCAAGTACCTTCCAAGTACATTAAATTAAAAAATAATAATAATTAGACCTGTCTCAAACACAAGATACATACCTATACCTGACACTCACATCCGAGTTGATAACCAAAAAATTGTATTCTCTAAACAAGCAAAGCCGAGAGGTCTTACAGTGATTTCTTTTGCATATTCAAAATGACCCAACTTCTCTTCGGGAAACAAATCCTTCAGACCTAATTTTTTAAGCATGGCAGAAGAAGGAATAAATTTACAGCTCGCGAGAATTTGATAAGAGAGA